CGCGCTGCAACGATCGATAACAGCATCCCGCTCTCTAAACCGATCGACGCAGAAGATGGTCAACATGTCCATTGGATTCCCGTCCATGCTGGGCAGCGCGTGATCTTGAACTTCGACGGGTTCAACAGATCCGAGATCGTCTGGGGTACGGATGCGAATGTGTTCCGTCCCGAGCGCTGGCTGGAGAACGTCATGTCGAAGGTTGCGCCTGAAGATCAGTGCGGCGGGCCATATGTTAACCTGGCTAATTTTGGAGGGGGACCGAAGGCGTGTATTGCTTGGCGTTTTGCGTAGGTGTGATTATCACGTGACGGTTTCGAGATCTAAACAGTTCGCAGGATCATCGAAATGGAAATCTTCATTGCCATGATAATACGACAGTTTGAAGTCAGGATCTCCAATCCTGACTATGAGATGTGGAGAGAGTGTGCATTCATTAACACGGTATTACATTCCTTTTCATAATCCGATATGTTACCTGACGGCCCGGGTGTCATTAGATTCCTATGCAGAAAGGTCGCCTTGATCGCGGTTCACAAGTGCCTCTCCGCATACAGAGACGCATGGCCAAATAGCAGGGATTCTTCAATATCGAGCGCTCCTGTATGCATATGAATCACGATCTTTGCCGAGTAAAGAATTCTAGCTAAATGAGGCGACAAGCTCATTCTCTGCACACGTCTCGACGGAGTAAAAGTCGCGTGATCCATATGCATGTTCGCCAACCTTGTTTTGTTTTGTTGGAGAAGCGCTGGCTCATATCGGTCGATCTCCAGTTCATGATACAGCACCGGAACGCCGCGCTGCGAAGCCAGGACGGATGGCCGAGTCGTATGAGCCAACCATCGAGCAACTCAAGAAGCCAGGAGATACGTTCCCAACCAAGTTTCCGCTACGAGAATGGGTGACATCCCGCAGCCCCTAGATACGTAGAAACGTAAAATGGAAGCAATTTTGAAGGGTCCGAATCACATGCTGTGCTGACCCCCCTTTCCCACAGGATGCACACTTGCTCTGTGCAGATTCCTAAGTTTGGGTGGGTCGCATGCTGAACACATGCCCTTTGCTTCCATAGGAGGTGTGTCAACTGAGCATGCCTTAAAGTACTACTTATCTCCACATCATATGACCTCCATCTCTCTCTTCTCTCTCTTGTCTCAATTAACTTTCACAATGGCTGTCCCATGTCTCTCCACTGGTTGTATTGAGGAGATGGTGACTGTGTCTCTTGCCTCAGATACCAGTCCTGTCATCCTCCAGCTTCTTGAGTGTAGCAAGGAGCTCAATGCAGAGGGTGACACATTTGACCCACCTTACTTTATGTGAGTTGTGTTTCATCCAGGCTGTATGCAAACTGATCTTCTACCAGCTTGACACTCTCAGATGGTGCATCCTTCATTACAAAGGTGGTGCTGCACTCATCTGTTGTGCCCAGGCTGTGCAATGAGGAGATCAAGGTGTATGATGTCATCACTTTGATGTCATACGAGAGGTTCATGGGTCCCAGGAACCAGTGCACCTCTTGTTCAATCAGCACAGCCTAAACCTGTTCTGACCCCTCTCCAGTGTTGCTTTGATTGTAAACTTTGACTTATACACCACCTGGTCTAGTTGCATTTTGATGCCCATTGCTTTTCCTGGTTGGGCAAACATCATCTCTGACTGGCAAGCATACTGCCATTCTCTGGGCTATGCAACTGCCCCTTATGAATTTCACTATGTCTGGCCCCAGCTTCCACAGGCTGCACCTCCTCCCCTTATGACCCAAATCACAATGATGGGTGTTGGGGTTGTGCCCTCCGAATATGTTGCACTGATGCTTCCAGTCCTTCCCCCACCTCCAGTGCCCATTCCTACCCAGGTTGACCATCTCCTCCCAATCAATGCAAGTCTGGATCACACTGCCTTGCATATTATGCAAGGCACCCTACCCATGTTCAGGGATCACAGTGCAGCCTGTGCCTCTGCCAATCATACCCCCTGTGTTGGGAACAACTCCTTTCATTGTGCCCATTCAAATGGTGCAAACATACCAAGCTGGGTAAGCCTCTCTCACATATCCAACCTCCATGTGCTGATCAGCACAGACTGAACATCCAAGTGAGAATCATGAGGATCTGACACAAGGATAAGGGAACAATTGACATTCTCTGCCATGATTTGACAGGCAAGATTGACCTTGTTGTGCACCATCCTGTCCATGCCAAGTTTGCCAGTGTTGAGGTGGGTAAGGTGAGCCTCAGTCTGCACAGCCTTTCTTATATTATGTTTAATCATATCATACACTAGGTATATACAATTTTCAATCTCGATGCTATTGTGGCAGTTCAAGAATACTGCTGTTCATTCCACACATCCCAGCTTGACTTCCACCACCAGCAGAGTGACATTGCTGAGGTTAGTAGGCTGTGCTCTTGCCCCTGTATTATCTGACTTTTGTTACCAGGTCCCTGATGATGGGACAATCCCAGAACTTCATTTCAGCATCTGCCAAATCATCCAAATTCCTGAATTACCAGATAAGAAGTGTATTGGTCAGTTCTCTCACTGCAATGCAAAGGCTACCACCCCTGCTGAAGGATTGCACAGCATTTTTGACTGTGAGATGTGCGATCAGAACTATATGGCCCCTGTTGCAAAGTAAGTTTTGTCTTTGTTAGGGCAACACAGGCTGACTAAGTCTGCTCACCTAAGAGTGCCAAGAGTCTAAGCAGGCAACAAGGAAGTGGAGTAGACCTGATGACTAAGACCTATCTACAGTATAGGTACCTGTGGATGATCCTAAGAGACCAAGTCTGAAGAGACAGTCCCAGGCAGAGTAGGCCTTATATTTATACCTCTGTGGTGGAACCTGCTAGAACATCTTGCTTACTCAGCCTAGTCAGGTGATCAGGTCATATGACCAAGGATGAGGTCATATGAGGTCATGCACAGCCATGCACAGCAGGTCACCTGACCATCCAATCCTTCCAGCAGGTTCCAGCACATGCCAAGGTATACCAGCTACTTCCATGTCATAAAGGCTTAGTCATGTCTCTTGACCAAGCAATGAGCTGGTGCCCTGACATCACCCCCCCTTCTAGACATGTTGTCCCAGCATGTTGTTACTCCTTCTTCTGCTTTTCCCTTCTTCTTTCCAGATGTC